ACCTTCTGACAAAACAGCAAGAGCAGAGAGATGTCAAGTATGTTCTACAAAAAGGCAAGAAAGCAAAACACATGTGCTATCAGTGTAAGTGATATGTATGTATGGAATGTGGTGTTTTCATGCTCGCTTCATCAGCATATATACTAAAATTGGAATGTGATATTTACATGTGTGAAGATTGCCTTAGGTGTGATAAATGAAGTAAAGATTATTTTTGTTGTAGAGTTCCCTTGGTGCTTTCATTGTAGTTCATATAGAAATTTATTTCTGTTGTTATTTTTTAGACTTTGTAAACAAAGATAAACAGTTGATGTTGAAAATTTTGATGCTTATTTATAAATACTCAATAAATATTAAAAATTCAGTACTTTGTTTTTTGATATTTTTCCTATTAAGTAAACATTTTAATAAAATAAAACAAAACTCATAAAATTAATAATTAATAGAAATACTTATAAAAAATAAACATGGGTATTATATACCCCCCATGATGCTCCTTTAACTCAAAATTGGCATGATGCTCTAATGCTATTAGAGAAAAGAAAAAAATCACCTATAAAGGATAACCCATCAGAATTACAGCAGACTTCTCAACACAAACCCTTAAGTCAAGGAATGCATGGAACAAAGTATTTTGAGCCCTAGACAAAAACAATCTCCAATGAAGATTGATGTACCCTGCAAGGCTGATGGAGAAATAAGATACTTCTAGAATAAAGAATATCTGAAGAAATTCATGACCACCAAACCAGTACTCCAAAAAGTCTTTAAAGATATTCTATAAAAAGACAATGATGACAATACCAAGAATCCCAATAGAATGTATACACCAGGAAAGGGAAGTAATTAACTAGAAGGTAAAGAAAAGGAACCAACAAGAGGAAAATAATATAATGACAAGGGTAAGTCAATACCTATCAGTTATAACCATCAGTGTGAATGGTCTCTATTCACCAATCAAAAGAAACAACACAGGCAGAATGGATCAAGAAATAAGAGCTAACAATATGCTGCATACAAGAAACACATTTAATTCAAAAAGAAATTCATAGACTTAAAGTCAAAGGATGAAAAACAATATTCTATGTGACACAAACCCAGAAAAAGCAGTGGTAGCTATTCTATTTGCAAATAAAGTAAATTTCAAGCCAAGACTGATCAGAAGAGACAAAGAAGGTCACTCCATACTGTTAAAGGAACAATCCAAGAGGAAGCAATAACAATCTTAAATATATATGCACCAAATACTGGTGCACCCAACTATATACAACAAACACTAATTAATGGATGTGAAAAATCAGATAAGCACTAATATAATTGTAATGGGGGGGGCGGGGATTTAGCTCAGTGGTTCCAGTGCCCGCCTCTCAAGAGCAAGGTCCCAAGTTCGATCCCTGGTACCAAAAAAATCCACCACACACACACATAATTGTAATGGGGGAACTCAATACCCCACAGTCACAAAAAGACAGATCAGCTAAACAACAACAACAAAAAATCAACAGGGCAAGGGATTTAGCTCAGTGGCACTGCACCTGCCTCACAAGCGAAGGTCCTAAGTTTGATCCCCAGTACTGAAAAAAAAAAAAAATCAACAAAGAAATAACAGAGTCAAACAAAACCTTTGAATAAATGGACTTAATGGATATCTACAGAGTGTCCTACCCAACAAAAGAATTCACATTCTTCTCAGCAGCACATGGGATTTTCTCAAAAATAGATCACATATTAGATCATAGAACAAACTTAATTAAATGCAAAGGAATTGAAATTATCCCATGGATATTATCAGATCATAGGGCAATGAAATTAAGATTGATGGTGAAAGAAACCACAAAAACTACATAAACACATGGAAATTAAATAATACCCTCCTGAACAACCAATGGGCCACAGATGAAATTAAAGAAGAAATTAGTTTCTATAATTAAACTATAATGCCAATACAACATACCAGAACTTACGAGACACAATGAAAGCAGTCCTACAAGGGAAATTTATAGCAGTGAATTCCCACATTAGGAAAACAGAATGAGCTCAAGTAAATAACCTAATGTTGAAACTTAAGGTTCTAGAAAAATAAGGGCAAATTAAACTCAAAGCTCATACAAGAAAGGAATTTATAAAGATCAAAGCAGAAACCAATGCAATTGAGAACTAAGAAAACAATACAAAGAATCAATGATTTGAAGAATTGGTTCTTTGAAAGATTAAATAAAATAGACAAACCCTTAGCCAACCTGATAAAAAAAAAGGAAAGAAGTGACCCAAATCCATGCAGTTGGAATAAAAAGGGTGAAATCACAACAGACCCTGCAGAAACACAGAAGATCATCAGTACCTACTTTGAGGACCTATACTCTAATAAGATGAAAAACGGAAAAAAATGGGCAGATTTCTAGATTCATATCAATTACCAAAACTGAATCAAGAAGGTATAAAAATTCTAAATAACCCAGTATCAGTCAACTAGTTAACTATTTACTTGGTACTTTGGAAAAGTAATTTTAAAAAACTACCAACAAAGAAAAGCTCTTGTCCTGATGGATTCACAACTGAACTCTACAACAATTTTAAAGAAGATCTAATGCTAATATTCTTCAAACTAAAAAAATTGAAAGGGAAGCAATACTCACACAGTCATTCCTGGAAGTAAGCATTACCGTGATACCAAAACCAGAGAAGGATCCAACCAAAAGAGAGAACTAGAGGCCAATCTCTAATGAACATAGATGCAAAAATCCTCAATAAGATATTGGCAAACAGAATGCAGCAAATCATCAAAATGATTATACACCATGACCAAGTAGGATTCATCCCAGGGATGCAGGGATGGGTCAACATTTGCAAATCATTAAATTTAATACACCACATTAACAGGATAAAAATGTCACGATCACCTCAATATTTGCAGAAAAAGCACTTGACAAAGTCCAACACCCATCCATGATAGAAACCCTACAGAAAATTGGAATAGAAGGTCCTTATCTCAATCTGATAAAACCCATCTATGACAAACCAACATCCAACATCAAGCTAAATGTTCAAAATCTGAAAGTTTTCACTCTAACATCAGGAAAAAGAATGCCCACTATCACCACTCCTATTCAATATAGGTCTGCAAAGATTAGCCAGAGGAATTAGACAAGAGAAAGAAATAAAAGGAATATGGATAGAAAAGATGGAAGTTAAATTATCATTATTTGCTGATGACATGATACTCTACATAGCAGACCAACCCCAAAAATTCTACCAACCCCCCCCACTAGATTTAATAACTAAATTTGGCAGCCTAGCAGGAGTCAAAGTCAGCACTCAAAAATCAATAGCAGTCCTGTGCAAAAATAACAAACTCACTGAAAGAAATTAGGGAAAAACACCTTTCACAATAGCATCAAGAAAAATGAAATATGTAGGAATCAATCTAACAAGGGAAGTGAAAGACCTATACATTGAAAACTACAGGGCCGGGGATTTAGCTCAGTGGTTCCAAGTTCAATCCCCAGTGCCAAAAAAAAAAAAAGAAAAAAAAGAAGAAAAAGAAAACTGCAGTACTCTGAAAAAGGAGAGCAAAGAGGATACCAGAAAATAGACATTCCCTGTTTTTGAATAGTCAGAACCAATACAATGAAAATGGCTATACTTCCAAAACTGTTATATAGATTTAATGAAATCCCAATCAAAATACTAATGCCATACTCAGAGAACTAGAGAAAACAATCCTAACATTCAGATGGAACCAGAAGAGACCTAGAATAGTAAAAGCAATTCTGGGCAACAAGAGCAAGGGAGGGGGCATCAGAATCCCTAATTTGAAATTATGGTACAAAGCTACAATAATAAAAACTTCATGATAGTGGCAAAAGTCCAGACTCAAGGATCAGCAGACTAGATTAGAAAATGCAGAAACAACTTCAAGCCCACTCAGCTACCTTATCTTTGACAAAGGAGCCAAACACCATCACTGGAAGAAAGATATCCTCTGTAATAAACAGTGCTGGGAAAACTAGCTTTCTACATGCTGAAAATTGAACCAAGACCCATGTCTTTCACTGTGCACTTAACTAAAATCAAAATGAATCAAAGATCTAGATATAGGGCCGGGGATTTAGCTCAGTGGTTTCATCACCTGCTGCTCAAGCGCAAGGACCTGAGTTCGATCCCCAGTACCAAAAAAAAAGATCTAGATACAAAAACAGAAACACTTAATCTATTGGAAGAAAGAATAGATAAAACTCTCAATGACATAGGTGTAGGCAAAGACTTCATGAACAAAACTGATCACACAGGAAGTACTACCAAGAATCAACAACTAGGATCACATCAAATTAAAAAGTTTTTCCACAGAAGGAAACCACCAACAGAGTGAAAAGACAACACACAGAATGGGAAATTTTGTTTTTACCAGCTACTCTTCCAGTAAAGGACTATCATCTCGTATATTTAAAGGACTTAAAAATTCAGACCCAATCCAAAATTGGGCATCTGAAATGGGTAGACACTTCTCAGATGAAGAAGTACAGATAGCAAATAAATATATGAAAAAATGTTCAACATCTCTAGTCATTTGAGAAATGAAAATTAAAATAATACTAAGATTCTGGAAACAGCACTAAGTCCAGAAAGAATAGCTATCATCAAGAAATCAACCAAAAAAAAGAAAGAAAAAAAAGGAAAAAAGAAAGAACGAAAGAAATCAACAAATAACATGCTGAAGAGGGTATGGGGGAAAAGGAACCCTTCTCCATTGCTGGTGAGAGTGTAAATTGGTACAATTACTAAGTAAATCAATATGGAGATTACTCAAAAAAATTAAAACTAGACAAGCTTCCAAGACGGCGCTAGGCGGACAGCTGTGAACGGCGGTCAGGGCGCGCTGGGCAGGGAGCCAAGCAGGGCTGGCGGCAGGCGGACAGGGTGGGCTTGGGCAGGGCCAGCCGGCTGGCGGGCGGAGCACCACCGCTGATGCAGACGAGGTAACCAGGCATTGATGTACCCCCAGGAAGCCCACACACTCAAGGAGGCTGTCCTCTCTGGCTGCTGGTCACATGGTTTCTGGGCCCCTGGCACTCCGGTGGTACGCGTGGGCAGGGCATGGGGACATGGGGCCGACGTGGAGCTGCACAGCCACTCGAAGCAGCTCCTGCTGCAGCTGAACCCGCAGAAGATCAAGGGCTTCCTATGTGCTGTCATCATCACGGTGGAGAACTCCATTTTTCGAGGATGTCTGGGCTGCCAGCAGCATCTACTTCAAGTCCCTGGTCCTGCACGACAACCTCATCAACCTGGACACAGACATGGTCAGCTCCTCGGTGTTCCAGCAGATCTTGGATCTCATCTACACCGGCAAGCTGCTGCCCAGTGACCATCCCGCTGTGCCCAACTTCAGCACTCTCCTCATTCCCACCAGCTACCTCCTGCTGCCTGAGTTGGCAGCTCTCTGCCGGTGCAAACTCAAGTGGGCTGGTAAGCCCTTTGGCTCAGGACGGGTGGGAGCCACCAGCATGGGGCGGCCACCCCGCAGCCAGCCACTGTCCACAACCTCTGTCATCCAGCCTCGGTATCCAGGGCTTGTGGATGAGCGCAAGGAGGCCCATGCACCCCAGGAGCTTCCCCCAGCCAAAGGCTCAGATGATGAGCTCTTCCTTGGTGGCTCTACCCAGGAGAGCACACACAGCCTGGGCCGGGGGGTCTGTCCAGCGAGTGGGGAGATGGGCCTGGGGCACTGTGGCAGCAGCACCCATGGGAGCAGTGGGGGCTGTGAGCAACAGCTGGGCCTGGACCTATCCAAGAAGAGCCCACCCCTGCCTACCACCATCCCTCGCCCCCACCTCACCCCCGATGACCCAGCCCAGAACTGAGTGATAACCAGCAGGGCTCGCCCCCCTTGTCCTCTGCCCTGCCTGTTGCCAACAGTGCCTCTAACACCCCTGATGAGCCTATGGATTTGGATGGAGCCGAAGACAACCATGCGAGCCTGCTGGAGGGGCCAGGCGGGCAGCCTCTGAAGAGCCTCTGGCCCTCGGCCCGGAAGAAGGAATGGAGCAAAAAGGAGCCTGTGGCTGGCTCCCTCTTTGAGGGGAGAGAAGTTGGGCCCAAGGGCCCCTGCTCTGGAGAGGAGGATGAGGAGCTTGGGGACAGGGTTCCCAATGGCATCTTGGCTGCCAGTGTTGGTGGGGGTGGCCCCAGTGTGCCCTACGGGGAGCCTCCATATCCCTGCAAAGAAGGGGAAAACAGCAAGGACAGGAGCGAGGACAGTGGGCAAAGTGGGAGTGAGAGGGCCAGTGGCCATGCCGGTGCTCACTACATGTATCGGCAGGAGGGCTACAAGATGGTGTCATACGAGGACAACCTATATGTGTGCATCCCCTGCTCCAAAGGTTTCCCCAGCTCTGAGCAGCTCAATGCCCATGTGGAGACACACACAGAAGAAGAGCTGTCCATCAAGGAGGAGGGAGCCTATGAGACAGGAAGCAGGGGTGTTAAGGAAGAGACTGAGGACCTGTTGGTGTCCAGTGCAGCATATGCGGTGGAGGCTTGGCCCTTTAAGCACTCAATCTGTCAGAAGACCTACAAGGACCCAGCCACTCTGAGGCAGCACAAGAAGTTGCACTTGCTGATGCGGCCCTATCCCTGTGAGGTCTGTGGCAAGACGTTCACACAGCGTAGCACCATGACATGCCACAAGCGGAGCCACATGGGCCTGAAGCCCTTTGTCTGCAATGAATGTGGCATGTGCTTCACCCACCAGTACCGCCTCACCGAGCACATGCGTGTACACTCAGGTGAGAAGCCCTATGAGTGCCACCTCCGTGGAGGCAAGTTCACCCAGTAGCGCCACCTGATCAGCCACCTGATCAGAAGGGACCAGAGCCCAAGGTCCAGCTGTAGGCACCTGGTGGCCCCTCTGGCCCAGCCTCCCCACACCCAGAGCTTTAATCAACAGTCTGTACCAAGAGAAGCCAAGAGGAGGGAAGCCAGAGGGCCCACCCCTGCGCATGTAGTGCTGGACCATTCTACCTCCCTGTCCCACCCAGGGTCCCAGCTCCCTGCAGGGGCTGCAGCAGAGCTGGAGTGGGTCACGTGGGTCTCAGTGGGACCAGGTCCCTTTCTTGCAGGCTGGTTGGAGAAGGGGAAGTGTTTGTGTGTGTGTGTGGGGGGGTATCCCCCTCCACGCTGGTGAGGGACAAGGCTGCCTGTGGCCAAGGGTGGTATCTGGGGCAGGCCCCTACCCGCCAGGGACCGTGTCTGTGTGTGCACGTGTGCTTGTGTCTGTGTGGGTGTGTCCGACCCTAGCTCTGACAGGAGCGGGTGTTGAGGGGACAGCTCCTTTCCTCCTTGAGCTAAAGTGGCATTGCTCACTGGCGCTGGGACAGTCAGGGTGACCTCACCACCTGCCTCTACAACTGAAGAGCCCTCTGGGCCTGTGGTGCTGTTATTCCTACTGATCTATTCCTTTTTTGTTGTTATTGTTTTGTTTTGTTTCCCTTTTTGAATTCTATTTTTTAAACTAAAACAAACAATAGTTTATTTTCTTCCTGCCTCTTTGGGGCTGAGCCTGGGTCTGCAGACTGAATGTAACTGAGGCAGCTGCCTCTCCCTGTCATCCCTCCAGCTCTGGCAGGTGCTGTAGGGTGCAGCAGTAAACCCACCTCTCCAGGCCCAGAAGCCCTTCTTGCCCAAAGGCTTCCGTGTTCCCCAGCCTTGCCTGGGCCACCTCAAGAGAGTGTGCTTTTCCTATAGTTTCCAAGGAATATTCTTTGTCTAGAGGTACTTGCTTTTTATTGAGAAAGCCCCGTGTAACATTTGTGGGTCTGTTGGAACTGGAAGGTCTGGGGGTGGGGCAGGCTGGCCTCAATGCCAGGATCGTTGGTACTTGCATTTTTCATTTCTGTGTGTGTGGGTAAGTGTGTCATGTGTGTTGTGCGTACAGACAGATGTTTCACTTTCCTGCCTCGCCGAACAAGGTGGAGAGACTTCTGACCTTTTGCTACCTCTTGAATTCACAGAAACAGTATGTTGTTGATAGGCAGTTGAGGCCTAGATGCTTTTGTTTTCCTCTGGGGGGAATGAGCCAGGCTTGGGCTGGCCAGGGCACCCTCCTGGGTTGGATGCTGTCCTCAGGGCATGCCCTGCTCACTGAGCCCAGATGAGAGTTGAGTGTGGGGCAGGCTACCGGGCAGGTTCAGGGCATCTGAGCAAGAGAAGCTAGGAGGGGAGGGGACAGGTCTCAGCAGCTCCTTGCCAGGGCCAGGATGAGGTGGAAGTGAGCCCCCTTCCATCCTGTCCCCTCACCTTGAGCTTAGAGCAGCAGCCTCCACCTGGCCAGTGAGGTGTCAGGAGGAGGTGACTAAAGCAAGGGGAACTAGCATCAACACCTCTGAGCAGGCCTGGCTCCCAGCCACTCTGGTTAAGAGTCTGGCCACCACTCACGGGCTCAGTTTTGTTGCCCCTTAACCATGGCCTTTTCAGTCATCTTCAGTACTTCCATGGGCCTCTGCTGGGCTCCAGGCCAGACCAAGGTTGCCATGCTTGGTCCTAATGTCCTCTGCCAACTGGAGCTGCAGGGCTGGGCCAACAGGGTTTATCTTCTTCATTCTGTTTCATGTTTTTCTTTTCTTTTTTCTTTTCAATTTTAAGTTTAGACCAAAAAATATCAGAGTCATCCCCTACCCCCAGCCCTCCAAAGACTGTCCAGCTGAAAACAGCCTGAGTTCAGGGACCTGAGTGGTGAATGGTGTGTTCTTGGAAGTGAGGGCGCTCTGGCCATATGAGGAGGGCTCCTGGCTAAGCCCTCCACGTGGTGTCCCCAGCTGGCCACTCTTCCCTTTGGGTGAGAGACGTAAAGAACTGGACCCTGGGTTTCAGTTCCAACAAGTCAGGCTGAGCACCTGGCAGAGGAGACTCCTGGGCTCCACCCCACCCAGGGAGGGGGCTGAGCTGTGAACTTAAGCCCCCTACAAAGAGTCTGTACCACATGGGAGTTGTGCACATGCCTGGCCACGTTCATGGCCTCCCGGGCCGTGGGCAGCCACATCTGTGAGGTGATTCAAAAGTAGGTGATTCCTCTGGAGAACTTCAGGGACTGGGAGCAAAGCCCCCTCCCTCAATGACATCTGTGCGGCATAGTAATGTACCCACCTTAGTATTGTATCAAGACTTTTCTGTATTTTAATGAGAAAGCAAAACACTAGTTTCCTATTTAAGATTTTAAGAGTTTATGGGGCAGGGTGGAGGTGACACAATTCTTGGTTTTGTTTTCCTTTTCCTTTGACTCCATGTCTGGTGCGTGGTTGAGAGTGTGTGTGTACAGATGTTAAGAGCCTCGCAAAGAAATTAGGCCGTAGGAGGCCAAGGTGACTTTCAGTTCTCTGCTTTAGTCACTTAATTCCTGAATGTTTCCGAGAAACAGGAAACAGAATAGCAGATGTTATACAGGAGAGAAGATAAAAACAAAAGAATGAAAAAAAAGGAAAAAAAAAGAAAGCTCATACCCAAATTCACAAAACCTATTTTTTAAATCAAAGCATATTTTGAATGAGTATGGAACCTCAATGGGCTCAGAAAAAAGATACTAATATATTTATCTCATTGTTTACATAAACTTCTACAGTTTCAGGCTCAGCAGCTGTAAGGCCAGTCCCAGGGAATCATTACCTTCTGGTGGGAGGTCCTTCTGAGTCGGCCTGGAATGGCTCACGGGCAGAGAGGTAGTCCTGGGGGCCAGGAACAGGCTAGAAGCCTCTCTGGACTCACGTGAGCCCTCATCCCCACTGGGGGAGCTGGGCTGATGGTCCGCTGCCCCACACCGTCAGTATTCACTGGCTCCCAGGCCCCCCGTGCAGGAGTACAATCTAGCTGGGTGGGTGGGCAGGCAGATCCTTGCCCTTCTGTGGCCGTTCTGAGTAGGAGGAGGCCTGGGCAGCCAGGAAGTGGGGCTCAGGAAGCAGGTGCTACATCCGTTCTGTCCCCAGGCTTGGGGGACAAAAGCTGAAGGCATCAAGTCTGAGAAGAGCAGATGAGTCCTCAGCCCTGCCATGCCCCCTTTAAGGGGCCAAGGTCCTGCTCTTCCCCAGAGTCATGTTCGAGCTGATGTTACTGAACTTGTGAATTGGATGCGGGTAATGAGGGACTGGAGAGGGACCTGACCAGAGCCTCAGTCTGACATTCCAAACCAGGGATGGGTGGGAGCTGTGGGAATTGCAGCTGCCCAGGACCCCCTTCCTAGGATGCCCCCAGCTTCAGTCACCCCCTTTAATTCTCTACCAGGAACCCCTCCCCCTACCTCACCTTGCTATTTATTGCTATAATTTATTGACTTCAAAAATGCTGCCTAACAGATCTCATGGAACAGGGAGGGTCCCCGGGGCTCACACACACACACACACACACACACACTTGGCAGGGCCCCATGGGGCCAGGTGCTGGGGGGAGTCTCTCTGTACCCGACCCATCACTTGCTTACCCCCTGCCCCTCTGGGGGCTCCGGGTTGGGCACTGGCCCACTTCCAAATACCTCTAGAGGAAGGGGAAGGGATGGGTTCCTTTTATTTCTTTCTCTTGTCTAATTGCCATGGCTAATGTTTCCAAAACTATATTGAACAGGAGTGGTGATAGTGGACATCCTTGTCTTGT